ATACTGTAATTTTAAGTACCTCATTTATGTAAGACAGAAATTTTTTAAAATAACTATTAATAATATTGCAAACTAATACTTTATATTGTTAATTAATTTTAATAGAAATACATTAATAAAATATCTTAATAATAATAAATAAATGAATAGTGAATAAATTGTTAGCTAATTGGAAAATAAAATATAAGAATGTCTTTAAGGGGTTTAACAATAATTAGATGTAAGTTATTATAAATTATGATTAGTCCTCTTTCAACAGAATTGAAGCTTTTCTTGATTAACTTGTTCTTGCTCCTAATCCACCTGTTCCTTAGAATACTGTTAACTTTGTTTTACCAACTATTTAAATATCTTAACCATTAATATCAACATTAGGTAATTAAGTCATTCAGGAAATCAAACCTTTAATCAATATAACTATTTAGAAATCAATTCAATAATAATAATAATTACAATAATAATAGAAAATAGTATAACCTATAATAAACAATTAATTTTATTAAAAGCCATTCACTTATAAGTTATTATAGGATAAGTCAATTAAATATAATGAAGAATGTTTTGCAATAGCTATTAATAAAAATAATTCAATTATATTAGCTGGATGTAATTCTTAAATTAAAGTATTTGAATTCAAATAAGAATAATTGAAACAAACTCAAATTCTAAGTGAACATTCAGATTATGTTTCAACTTTAAATTTTATGAAGAAATAGAATCAATTTATATCTGGGAGTGGAAATGGATAGATTATAATATGGTCTATGAATCAAAATAGTTAATGGGTATGCTAATAAAAATTAAATGATCATTCTTTATATATTAAATGTTTAGTAATAAACAATAATGAAGATGTTATGATATCTGGTAGTAATGATAAGACAATCAAATTTTGGTAAAAATAATAGTAGCAATTTGTATGTTCATAAACTATTTCAGATCATACAAATGATGTACAAGGATTAAGTTTGAATGATTTATAGAATAGAGTGATATCTTGTGGATCTGATAATTTAATATTAATAATAGAACGGTCATCATAAGATTAAAAATGGAATGTGATATAAAAGATATCAGTTGAAATATAAGGTCGTCGATTATGTTTTATAAGTGATAATGTATTCACATTCTAACCTAAATGTAAAGAATAGATGCATGTTTATGAGATGAGTAGTACTAATAAATAATACTCAAAAACTAAAGAAATTGATGTCAAAAGTGGTTATTTTGGTTGTAATGCTTGGTTTCCTTAATAATATATAAAGTAGAAATGTCTAATTGTGAATAAGAATGGATATAATGTTAATTTAATAAGATAGAACCAAAATGGTGATTTTATAACACAATAATCTATTTATTTTGGACATAATTCTATATTTGGATAGATGAGTGAAGATGGAGAGTATTTGATGACTTGGGATAGCAAATCATATGAAATTTAAATAAGAAAATATCATTAAGAATGAAGAAGAATGAATTATTATTAAAAATAATCATTTATTCATTTATTTTAATATTCTTGAACAGATTTTATTAATTATATCAATATGTAAAATTTACTTTAAGTAATTAATCATAACAATTATATTATTATTAAATGTAAATAAAAAGTAGAATATTGTTACTAAAATTGTTATAAAATTAGTAAAATAGTAGA